GGCGGGCGGCTATAACGGCCCGGGGGACGGCGAACGGCAGCCGGACTCGCGCGGCCAGGGGGCGGGGCGCGGCGCGGAGGGGCGGGGCGTGGCGCTGCAGCGCGGGCCGCACGTTTGTTTATCGGCCGCGGCCGCTGGTTGGCCCGGAACTGCGCGGCTGCGTCACGCGCGGCGGCGTTACGGCCGGGCCGGGCCGGGCCTCGAGGCGGCCGGGCGCCCTTTACGGGATCCCGCCTGGGTCAAAATAACAGCGGGCGCGCGGCTGCCGCAACGGCAGAGGTCGAGGGGGGAGCGGGGCCGGCCGCTAGGCTCGGCGCGGGTGACGCGGGGCGCAGGCGCGCTCCTGCCGCACGTGTGGCGTGCCCGCTGCCCGCTGCCCGCTGCCCGTGCGGCGGCGGTGAGAGAAGCCTCGGCGCTGGGGCTGAAGCGGCGCTAAGGCAGAGAGCCTGGTGCGGGGCTCGAGTCCGCTCTGGTCTCCGTAAGCCACGGAGCGACTGACCTGCGCCGGCCGACGTGAAGCGGGAGCCCGCCGGATAGCTGTCTCGGAGAGGCGTTCTCTGTCGGAGAGCATCGCCATAAGAGCGGAGTCGCGGCTGTCCCAGTAGGGGAGGTTTCGACCGCGCTCGGCGCTGCGCTGTCACCTCGGCATCCCGTGCGTCCGCAGAAACGAACCCACCCAGCGCCCGCTCCTCCTGCTCCCACAGCCGCGTACCGCGGGGTTTGCCGTCGCATTCGGCGTTCGTTCGTTCAGTAAAATCTAGGAAGTAGCAAAACCCCCACGAAACGTGCATTTGATGAGGTGAAGCGAGGGCGGAATAACCCAATTAATGAACATTCTGAGCCTGGAGAGCGGAACTGACGTGCTATCGTCTGCTGGGTCAAACTCGGTTCGATCTGGGATCTTCAAATCACTTTAACTAAAACTTGCTTTCCCAGGGTAAAAGGTCTGCACCCCCACATAGCTAAAACCTGTTAAACTCACCTTTAAGTCCCTAAGGACACGAGTTGTGACTTTTCTTTCTGTTTGTTTTTGTATAGATTGGGTAAAACTTCACTTAGTGCAAGACTTGCTTTCTCAAAAGTGATGCAATTAATATTTCCACGTCAGAGGATTTCTGCAAAGTCTCTGCATGGGATTATGTCTGCCATTAATACATAGTTCATAAGTAAAAATCTGTAGTGTAAAGGGAATGAGTTTATTAAAGAAATTGATTCCCCAATGATAACTTTTTTTGTTGACACACTGTAAGGAAGGGATGCCATTCAGAGGGACCTCAACAGACTGGAAAGGTGGGCCTGGGTGAACCTAATGAGGTTCAACACAGAAAAGTGCAAGGTTTTGCACTTGGCCGGAGGAATCCCAGGCATCCATACAGACTGGAAGGAGCGGTCCTTGAGAGCAGCCCTGCAGAGAAGGACCTGGGGGTCTTGATAGATGAAAAGCTTAACATGAGCCAGCAGTGTGCCCTTGTGGCTCGGAAGGCAAATGGTATCCTGGGCTCCATCAAAAGAGGGGTGGCCAGCAGGGACAGGGAGGTGATTGTTCCCCTCTACTCTGCTCTTGTGAGGCTCCATCTGGAGTACTGTATCGAGGCATGGGGCTCCCAGTGCAATACAGACAGGGAGCTGTTGGAGAGGGTCCAGAGGAGAGCCATGAAGATGATCAGGGGACTGGAGCACCTCCACTACAGAGATAGGTTGGGGGAGCTGGACTTGTCCAGCCTGGAGAAGAGAAGGCTGTGTGATGACCTCATTGCAGCCCTTCAGTACCTAAATGGAGCCTATAAACAGGAGGGGAATCAACTCTTTGAAAGGGTAGATAACTGTGGGACAAGGAGAAATGGTTTTAAATTGAAGGAGGGAAGATTTAGGTTGGATGGGGGGGG